GAGGAGGAGTGATGGTGAGGATTCTAAATCTCAGTTCTGCGGGCTGCCTGCTCTCCTCCAATGCCATCCCCTCCAGAACTGCAGTTACAGCCACGCTGTGAGCTCTGGGAGTCCTCAGCAGGAACATCCAGTGTCTTTAACTGCTGGGCCATCTCTCCAGCTCCCTAGTTTGCTAATTCTTTCCTGTGCACTTTCCCATCTGTCACTGGGCTCTTGTTCTATTTTTCAGTGTGATTTCCAGTTCCAGAATGTTCACTTTGTTCTCTTTAAATAACAACTCTGCATCAGTGCACTGTACCTAACAAGATGTCCCAGCCTTCATTCCGTAGTTCTTTAGCTCTGTGAACAGGCTTTTAAACGCTACTGAGAAGTTTTATTAAGTCTGGCATCTGGGCCCCTTCTCAAGCAGTTTGTGCATTGCCCAATTTTATTTTTATTTACTGCTTTTGGGTTTTGGTTTTCCATTTCTTTGTTCATCTCACACTTTTTCTTCTGAAAACTCCTTTTTCCAGTAATGTATGTTAGCAACTCTGATCTGCCCATTCCTTTCTCTGGGACTTGGTTTTGTTGCTTATGTGTTGGTGCCCAAGATGGATTTTAGTAACGTCTTTCCCTTCTCGAAGCCTTGGATGTAACTACTTCTGGAAACATGTAGCCCTGCAACATGGCAACTCTGGGGCTGTGATGGTTTAGGTAGGGTCCTTGCTGACTGTCTGATCTCTCTGCTTAACTTTCTGCCTTTGCTGATCTGACACCCAACTTTTAGCTCCCACTAATCTCCAGGCTCTTGTTCTATTTCCCATGATGCCTCTGGGAGGAAACTTGCAGAGATCATTCTTGTCAAAGACCTGATTGACTTGTGTTCTGACCTAGGAGGGCTCCCCAGTCTCTCCTGGGGTTCCTCTGGTAAACCAGTTGGCCTGCTAGCATTTTTTAAAAAAATTGTTTACCATCCAAATCTCCAGGATTTGAACTTCTCCACAGTTTCCTTTGATAGGGATCTTTAGAATTCTCAATCCCCACAGATTGACTGGTTATAACCCCCAAGTCCCTTTGTGGGTGAGCAGATCACTTTTCTCAGTAATATCATGGGTTTGGGGGGATTTTTTGGGGGGTTTTTGGTTTTGGTCTTTTTTAGATTTTGAGCAATAAAAACTCAAAAGAGTCCCCACCTACCCTTTGAGAAAAAATAGCTGCCCTGCTCCTGAGGGCCTGATAGAGAAGGAGCGCGCCTGCCTTTCTCTTAGCTCCCCAGTCTGTGGCATGGAGAGCTGGCATCTTGCTCTTCGCAGTGAAATGTCCTACATCTTCAGAGATGAGGAGGGAGGAAGCCCCATTTTCTCAACCATGACCACCCACTTTGGAGCTTCTGCAGTTCTCTGAAATAGGGGTGAGACCTAGGAATGGCCATGGCTCCGATGCCCTGAGTCCTCCTGTTCTTAATAAAATTTTGACTTTGTGACTATTTCCTCATTTTATACACCTTAGGGCAAGGCTTTTTGTTTTGTTGTTTGTTTGTTTGTTTGTTTTTTGAGACAGGGTTTCTCTGTGTAACAACCCTAGCTCTTGTAGACCAGGCTGGCCTCAAACTCACAGAGATCCATCTACCTCTGCCTCCCTTAAAGGCCTGTGCCACCACCACCTGACACAAGGCTCTTTTTTAAGTTTCAATTTTGAGAAAGTTTCACTATGTAGCCCCAGCTAGCTGAGAACTCACTGTATAGACCAGGCTGGCCTTGAACTTGTGGCAATCTTTCTGCCTCTGCCTCTGGAATGTTGGGGCTGCAGGTGTGCATGGTCATGCCTGACTCACATGTTATTTCGTAAAATAATTCCCATCTATCCTGGTTGTTTCTGAGGTTGTGTCTGCAGAGCTCCTGGGCTTCCTTCAGAAATGGAGGCCCCATTCAGAGATTTGAAACATGTTTACCTGACATGTCAGGCACCTAGAACATGCCAGAATCAGTCTCTCTCTGTCATTGTCTCTGTATCTGTCTCTGTAACTCTATCTGTGTTTCTGTCTCTGTCTCGCTCTCTCTTTCTCACACACACACACACACACACACACACACACACACACACATTCCTGCACACCCCAGGAATCTTCCTGTCTCCACTTTCTCAGTGCTGGGGTTGCAAGCATGTTATCACTCCTGACTTCCCATGGACTCAGGGGATCTGAAATCAGGCCCTCACATTTGTGTTGTAAGCACTTTACCAATTGAGCCATTTCCCCAATATTTCCTTCTGGAAGCCTCTTGGGATCACCTTGAATTGTCATGGTAGTTACACGGTAGATAATGAAGTAAACTCCAGGATCTGCCAGTTGCAAGGAGACTGGCCGACTGGAAACCCCAGTGGAAGGGACTAAATACCTGCCTACCGTCCACAGGCCTCTTTGAACCTCAGGAACTGCTCTGAGGTGCATGTGAAGGACCTGTTCAGGATGGGCATGGTAACAGAGTGCTCAGGAAAGCAGATGGGGAGAGGCCAGCACCCCAGACACTTGTCTTCCTCCACTATGGTCCTATAGGCAAATGTTTCCTGCCCTACCTGCTAGGACTTGTCATTCAAATTCCATTTCTCTCCCAAATACAGATGATACTCAACCCACAAAGACATTAGCCTTCCTCACACCCAGGATACTGACCTGAAAGCCCTATTTCCTGCCTATTACCAGCATAGCCAGGCCCTAAAGCCCAAGAGAGCACACTGACTGATGGGAGCCAACTCAGTCCTGCCTCTGTCCTACTATCAGCAGCATGTGCCCCTTCTGGAAGCACAGGCTAAGCCGCAGAACAAGAGTGAGAGTGAGTGCTCAGCCCTGCCCCATGCACATGTGCCCCTTGCTCAGACAAGCCAGGCCTGGCGGGCCAAGCCCAGCTCCTTACTCTCATTTATTTGCTGCTGCCCAACAGTGCAGAGATGACTCTCAAGGTCCCTTTGGTGTCACAGTACCCTGGCCCACACAGCTCATTCCAGTGTCCATCATGCCAGTCCTAATCATTGTACCCCATTGCAGATTTAACCAGAGAGCTTTTTACTAGTTAGACTTTCCTCAAAGTGACAGAACCCCAGTTCAACATAGCTTAGACTTCAGAAGGATCATGAAGGGATTTTAGGATGGTGTGGGACAGCAAGCCTTGCATGCTGGAGACAGTACCTCTCTGGGTCCTGTGCCTTCTCCAAGCACTGCCTCCTCACCCAGCCTTCTATCTCCCTTGTCAATTAATTACTCCGGAGGCACGCCATTACCCCTGCTCTCCAAGTGGAATTCTGGCATTTCTTGTGGTCAACTGTCTATTGTTTCACCAGGCCCTCTGCCCAGCTGCCTGGGTCTGGCTAAAGGGTCCTCGAGAAGAGCATCCTTCCTTTCTAAGGCCTCTGTCCAACTTCCCTATCTTCTTGACTCATTCTGGTGACTCTCTTGCCTCAGGAGTCCTCTTTCTTCCTCAGAAAGAATATAAAAGCAGGACTATCCTGGCTGCATGGGAAAATCACCTAATCCAAGCCTGGGCTCCACACCACACCAATCAACCAAACCTGTTGATATAAGTATTCTGTGTTGGTCTCCTCACCCCAGGGTGGTTGTGATATGGCATGAAGATGAAGACTATAAAATTTGAGGTAGAAACAGGAGGGTCAGGTGTTTAAAACCAGCTGGCTACAAAGATTCCTCTTTAGAGAAGCCTAGATAAATAAAACAAATTTTAAAAAATAAAAGGAGGACTACAAAGTACTCCAGGCATAGATAATATCTTCAAGTGCACATGCAACATCCCGAGTAGCAGCAGTTGCCCCCCAGACCCATCCAAGGCACCAGACAACCTTTGACCTTACTTTACTGTAATGTAAAGTCAGCTGGCAAACTCCACCTGCAACAGGAAAAGCTGTGATTTGCTCGTTTTGAAGGTGTTTGGCAGGAGCACCAATTCCTGATCACTAGGGTTCTCAGAGGTAGTGATCTTTATAGTTCAGAAAATGAGGTTCACTAGCCATGCCTCCAGTCTCCAATGTGTGAGTTTATTCAGTATATAACAGGTAAAAGCAAAGATTAAGTAGCAAATGACAGATAGGCAAAAGCAACAGATAGAAGACATGATGTGGGATTCCCCTCTATATGCTGTGATTATCATTAATGAATGAAGAAACTGCTTTGGACCTATAGCAGGGCAGAACTTAGCTAGGTGGGGAAAACTAAACTGAATGCTGGGAGGAAAAAGGTGGAGTCAAGAAGAAGCCATGGAGTTGCTGCTGGGGACAGACTCCCTGAAACTTTGCTGGTAGATCACAACCTCGTAGTGATGCACAGATTAATGGAGATGGGTTAAATTAAGATGTAAGAGTTAGCCAATAAGAAGCTAGAGCTAATGGGCCAAGCAATGATTTAAATAATATAGTTTCTGTATGATTATTTCGGCGCTGAGCAGTCAGGAAACGAACAAGTGACCTTTATACAACAGAAGACATCCATCAAATCAGGCACTCCAAACATCTGTCCAGGAAGACTGGATTGGCATGACTGAAAGCAAGCAAAGGCAAGAGCACCAGGTTGAAGCTTTCAAATCCAGCAGAAACTGATTGTTGAGGTAGTCAGTAGGAGTTCCTATTGAATTTCCTCTCCATGGGTGGGTGAACTTCCCCATGACTGAACTTCTGGTCTTCCTTCCTATTGCTGGCATTTTTATGTCATGGGATAAATAATTGTAACATCTGTTGGGAACCTTCCAGCTCAGACGACACAACATTTTACTCCTGGGCCACTCTGCTGCCTCTCCCAACCCTGACCCAGAGTTAGGATCCACACTGCTCCAGAAAAAGCTGTTGTGGAGAATTATTATTATTATTATTATTTATTGATATTTATTTTTAATTTTTATATGGATGGAGGTTTTGTCTGTGTGCACCACATGTGTGCCTGGTGTTTGGGGAGGCCAGAAGGGGGCATCAGATTCTCTGGAACTGGAGTTACAGACACTTGTAAGCTGCCATGTGGGTGCTGGGAGCCAAACCTAGGTCCTCTAGAAAGTCAGCAATGCTCTTAACTGCTGAAAAATCTCTCTAGTCCCAAAACATTTAAAGCAAACATACTGGATTCTGGGACAGGAAGGTCGCTCTCCCTCCCAGAGTCCACTTTCAACAAGTTAAACATCACATGGTTTAGCAATATAATGTACATTGCAGGAAATTCTAGAGAAAAGTGCTTTTAAAAAATTAGATTTACTTTACGTGTATAAGTGTTTTGCCTGCATGTATATATGTGCACCACTGACATACCTGATGCCCTTAGAGATCAGAAGACGGCATCGGAAATCCTGGAACTGGAGCTACAGGTGGTTATGAGCCATCATGATGGGTGCTGGCAACCGCACGGATCCTCTCTGAAAGATCAGCAAGTGCTCTTAACTCCTGAGCCATATCCCTAGCTCTTGAGAATCTCTGTTTTGTACCTCTGCACGTTTTAAGGTACCCTTCCTCCTTCAGTTTTTCTGGGGCACACATATACTCCAAAGGCACATCACAGGAACCCACTTCCCCCAAATGGGCCTCTCCTCCTAATGTCTACTGTGTTCTAATAATGCTAACTCTGGAGTGCAGAGTCCCAGGCTTGCACTACTATGCCTGGAACATTTTTGGAGGTAAGATCTGATTGTGTAGCACAGGCTACCCTGGAACTCTCTATCCTTCCGTTTCCCAAGAAAAGAACCAGAATGGAGTAGCTCTGCTATGGACAGCCCGTGTGACGTAGCGATTGCCCATTATGCTGCTGCTGTGAGGACGTAATAATTTAGTATGTGGAATGGCAAGGGTAGCTAGTTCATAATGCAACTTCAAATACAAACTCACTGTGTGTGCGTGTGACACCCGGCCCTGCTTTCTACGGACAGAAATGGCCACACTCCATTTCCCAATCGCACTTTCCGTTTCATCCCTGTGTGATTCCAATATAGGTTAAGCGTGTAGTGAGCCGGGGGTGCAGAGTTTCCAGGCTTGCGGTCTCCGTCCCTCCCACAAGTCCTGGCTGGGACCAAACGCGCGGTGGAGGCGCGGCCCGTAGACAGGGGCAGGTCGCATGCGCCGCTCCTCGCAGCCGCAGCCTTGTCTGTCTTGTGTGCACCGCCGCCATAGTTCCAATGCCCGCGCGCCAGTTGTGCGCATCGCCCCTGTGCAGCGCAGGACTAGGTTCTTAGGTTCCGATGGGAACTTGGGCAGAGAAGAGCAGTCCGGCCCCGATGCACCGGGCAGCACGCGGCAGACAGAACACACCTTGCCCAAGGCTTCAAGCAGCAAATCGGAGTCCTCGCAGCTCAGGTAGGTAGGCGCGCGCGGGTTTGTGGGCGACGGGGAAGCCCGGGGAGGTCACCAATTCTCCTTCTCACCCCCGCCCGGCCGATTCTAGCCCTTCAGAGTCGTTGGACCATAAAGTGATTCCGAGTTACTCTGAGTTGTTCGCAGCCTCGGTAGGCAATGTGGACTGGCTTCGGTTCTGTCTAAATCGGGAGCACAAAGAGGTCATAGTCGACGACAAGGTAAAGCTTGTAGCGTGGAGGCAGGGACTGAAACTCCCCAATACCCGAGAAAGACCTATGCCTTTGGTCCTAATTACCCATTCATAGAAGGCCCACTTGAAAGCAGGGGCTAGGGGATGAAGGGATGTGAGTACCTCCAGGGACACAGGGAACAAAGAGGACAACCCCAAGACAGAGGCGGGGTTGTGGCCCCTGCCCAATCCTGTTGAGCCTTCTGGGCGCTCCACTCCACAGGGCTTCACAGCCATCCACTTCGCAGCCCAGCAGAGAAAGCTTTCCTGCCTTCAGATCCTGGTAGAGGAGTATAAGTTTCCCGTGGATCTGCCTACTAACAAGGGCCAGACGCCCCTGCACCTAGTCATCCATAAGAACAGGAAGTCGGACATCCTCCCCTGCGTTGACTACTTGCTTAAGAAAGGGGCAGCCATCAACTCGTAAGTCCAGCCTGTTGTAGGAGAGACACTTGGGACTCTGGGTCGCCAGGCAGGTGGAGTCTTGCAGGAGCAGATGAGAGATTCTGAGAAGGACAAGGATTCCTGTCTGGAGAAAGCAGTCAGGGAGCCCACTTAGCATCCTGGTTCTTAGGAGACTGAGCTTCCTGAGAAGGCAGATCTAATTCCTAGAAACTTGGCTCAGGCAAACCGCAAGCAAGTCACTCAACCTCTCAGCCGCAAAGTCCTAGTCCCCACACTCAGGTGTACACTGTGGGGCCTCACGGAAGCTCGGTTTGGGAACTGGCTGTCAGGGTTGAGACTGGGAGGACGAATGTGCCCATGCAACAAGGTTTTTATGATAAAGAAGTTGGAGTTATAGGTGATTGTGTCTGGCGGGGGAACCAACCTCGGGTCCTCTGCAAGCTCAGTATATTTTCTGAACTGCTGAGCCACCTTTCCAGCTCCATTTTTGGGACAAGGAAAATGCACAACATACTAGAGACTGCCTAGCCTTCTCTGCGTGCTATCCAGCACCACACCCATGCTGGGAGCACAGCAACAAACACAGGGAACCCAGCCCTGCTTTCACAGAGCTGACTTTCTAGTGACTGCACAGGGACTAACTGAATGAATGGCCAGAATCCCGAGAGCTTGGCTAGGAAGAGAACAATGGGGTGATTGGTGGAAGTGCCAGGGAGGGGTCTATCTAAAAGAAGCAACAACCTCTAAGAAGCTGGCAATGTCTCGTGTAGTCCAGGCTACCCCCAAACTGGTACATCTTGAACTTCTGATTCTCATGCCTCCACTTCCCAGGTGCTAGGATCACAGGTAGGCATCATCACACCTGGTTTGGCTCAGTGCTGAGATTGAACTCAGGGCTTTACATATGCTAGGCAAGCATTCTGTCTAAGGAAGTGCATCCCCAGCCCCAGGAGGTGACGTTTAATTACAACATACAGAGATTGGAAAGACCTCAATGGATAAAGCACCCGTTGTACAAGTGTGAGGGCCTGAGTTCAAATCCTTAGTATCCATGTAAATGCCAGCTGGGCATGGTGACACTCCTGTAATTCCAGCCCATGGGAGACAGAAACAAGAAATCCCGAGCAAGATGGCTAGCTAGACCAGCGGAGCTGTGTGCTCTGAGTTCAAGTGAGAGAGTCTGTGCCTCTGCATATAAGGTGGAGGATAAGAGAGGAAAAGGAAGACACCCAAGGGATAACCTCTGACCTCCACATGCGGATACACATATACATGTAAACACGCATACAAACATATGCGCAGGACATACATTAAAATTAACTTCAATCTGAGGACCAAGTGAGCCAATTTTGCCAAAAGCCAGGGAGGAGTCAGACTTGGTGGTACATAGCTCTCTGTACACTCAGCACTAAGGAGGACAGAAGAGGATGAGGTTCAAGATCATCCTTGGCCACATAACAAATTCGACATCAGACTGTACCACAAGAGACCTTGTCTCAAAAATCAGACAACAGTGGATGAGATTGGTGATCCTGAAGCAACCCAGAGAGCCTCCAGGCAGCTCCTAGCTGTCATATTCAAACACAGCCTATCCTTAGATTTGCACTGTTCATACTAGTCTGTCCCTCCTTCTAGAGAAGAGAAACTTAAGGACTGAAGAGGAGCTGGGTTATGGACCGGATCCCTCATGGTAGTGGCAGAGTGGGCACTGGAAGCTGGCTTCCCTACCTATCTGATGCCCTTGCCCTTCCCTTTGCTCTTTACCCTGTGATATACCTCACAGTCAGACATGCCATGGCTTCACACCCCTGCACCTGGCTGCCCGCAATGGCCTTCTGGGATGTATGAAGGTCCTGGTGCAGAATGGAGCCAATGTGCACACCCAAGATGCCATGGGTTACAAGCCTATCGACTACTGCAAACTATGGAACCACCGCAACTGTGCCCGGTGAGCCTATGACAACAAGTCCAGCTGCTGCTGCTTCTGGCAAGGTCCGTCCCCTGGGCTGAGCCTCCAGGGGGAGGGCTGAGGAAGCCGGGTGGCAGCCGGGTAAGTCTGGGAAAGAGGCCCCATGGAGGATATTGTCTACATGAATTTGGCCTGACCTCGCCCCTTTAGATTGAACATTGCCTTCCTTCTTTGCCTTTCCCCTCCCCCAACTCTCCAAGGCCATCAGACATCTCTTTTAAAGGGCCCCTGGGCATAACACTGGGGTGCCTTGCTCTTCTCTGCCCTGGCAACTCTTGCCATTCCACCTTGGCCCTCAGTGCCCCACCCACTGAGGGAAGCCCGACTTTTGTAACATGCCACACCCCCACCTTGGTGCCAGGTTCTTGAAAGATGCCATGTGGAAACAGGACAAGAAGGATTTTGCCCGAGAGATGGGGAAACTGAAGACCCTGAAGGAGAAGCTGACCATTTTGGAGTACCGCTACCTGACTGAATATCAAGTAAGGCAGAGCCCCACTTCCCAGGGAGCTGGGCCCTGCTACCAATTGAGAGGAGCAGCTGCAATCCTTCACAGAAGGAGCTCCTGCTCCCCCGCAAACCGTCCATCATCAACCACTCCTTTAGGCCAAAGGTCCTGTTCTGTGCCAGAAAGCAAATGCAGCCTGAATTATGGGGCATTCAGATATCCTACCCTGAACTGTACACTAGGCTCCTGCTAAGCCCTGCAAGTCCGGCACCAAGGTGTGGTTCCTACTCAAGGAACTTAGGTGCTAGGGAGAAGCAAGTTATGCTCCTGGGGGAGAGTTGATGAGGGTGCCTGAGCAGAGGCCAAGGAGTTGTCTCTGAAGATAGACAGGCATCTATTATCCATATGGGGTAGGGAACCCGCAGAAGGAATCGCTGTTCAGAGTACATGGGGCACACAGGAACATCATGGAGGCAGAAAACAGAAAATTTGGGGATCAAGTATGAGTTGGGTGGAGATGGACAGACTAGAGGTTTGGCAAAGGTCCAGACCAGTGAAGTGCTTTAGCAAGGAAAGGGTTCAACCAGATATAACCATGGAACATAGAACATTCAAACAGGAACCTTAGAAAGAACTTGGATTCTTTCTTTTTTCTTTCTTTCTCCCTCTCTCCCCCTCTCTTTCTTCATTCCTTTATTCTCCTCCTCCTCCTCTCTTCCTCCTCCTCTTTTTTCTCTTGCTCTGTAGGCCAGGCTGGCCTCGAACTCAAGAGCACAGATTCTTAAGTGAACGATATGGATAGCTCCAGGGCCCTGCCACCATTGTACTTCTCCAGTTGTCCCAGCTGTGCCGCTGTTCATGGTGTCCTCCTTGCCTGTCACCCAGCCCTTACAGCTAGCAGGTTTTGTCGCCCTGACCTCTATTCAACAGCTCCCCGCAGATCTCTACTCAAGATCCTCTTGTTGGCCTCAATGGGTCACATGACCACTCTTCTTCCAAAGACTAGAACAAAAAGCAAGCCAGATGCTGCCTGACTTAGGACTGAGCAGAACTGATGGAATTAGGACTCCTGGCTTAGCCTAATCAGGGTCTGCCTCTGGAGCTGGGTCAATCTCCAAAGCGCCTGGTTACTTAGCAACTGTGCTGGAGTGAGACACTGAGATAATAGGGGTGGGGACATTCCCACAAGTGAAAGTTTCAGTGCTGGGGTGGTAAAGACAGAACTCTGGCTGAGTCCTCACCACCCAGTCTGGCCACTAGGTCACTCTATCCTCCTGGATGTCACTCCCAGAAGCCTGTCCAACTTCATTACTTTCATTCAATGCCAAACCTCCCAACCCTTCCTCTTTTCCCCTGTCTGGGGACAAACCAGAGCCATCTGAGGGTAGGACTGTCTCCTTGAGACCAGAGCTACCTCTGCAAACTTGGGGTTGTCCTTAGGGAGGGATTATGTCTTTGTCTTCAAGCTGGAGGTCTCCTTTGAAAGTCTTTGTCTCCTCCACAGTTTGGGAGTTCAGTCAGAACAAGGGATGCTTTCTCCATCTGAACAAGGCTCACATAAAGCAGCAACCTGCCCACTAGGCCTGAGGTTTCCCAGGGCATTAGCCACAGGGTCTTCTGTCCAGAAGGAGACCACACTGCACTGTGTCCTTCGTTGTTGCAGAAAGAACAACGAATTCGGAGAGAGACTCGTTTCAGAGCATGGCTCCAAGGCAAGGGGCTGAGCCGGCCCCAGAGCACCGCTGACTCCAAGCAAAAGTCACTGACCCTCTCCAAGACTCTGAGACCCCAGGCTGCCAAGAGCTTCCTGACCTATCCTTCTGTAGAGGCTCGACTGCAGAGCCTGCCCACACCCGAGGTGCCACCCAAGCCCATCTACAGGCAGACTACCACCATCAGTCGCCCCAAGTTGTGGAATTTTAGCAATAATCCCGCCAGGTCCCCGACCACAAAAATTGGCTGCCCTCAAGGTATACGCCTGGGTGTGCACCCAGACCCCTATAAGGAGCATGACTTCTGCAGATTCCTGGAGGTGACTCCCAATTCCCTCGGAGGAGCATGCCTGCGCACAGTGGACAATCACTTGGTGACACCTGTACCCCAGCTGCCGTTTGAGTTGATGGTCCGGGCGCTGTACCCAGGGGCTACACCCTACAGGATCAAAGTGCCCCAGGGCTTGTATCCACTTGACATCCTCAAAGTGCCCCAGAAACGGCATTTGGGAGATACCTCTACCAACACGCTGGCTATGAGCCTGCGTGATACATTTGATGAACCTTTCCTGGCTACCCTGGAAGCTAGCCGGACAGGAGTGGCCCCACTCTCCAAGGGAGTTCTCACATAAAGTTGTTCTGGAAACCTCCTGGTGAAGGTGAAGTGTTAAGATTCATATTGTGGGGGGCTGGAGAGATGGCTTAGAGGTTAAGAGCACTGGCTGCTCTTCCAAAGGTCCTGAGTTCAATTCCCAGCAACCACATGGTGGCTCACAACCATCTGTAATGAGATCTGGTGCCCTCTTCTAATATGCAGGCAGAACACTGTATACATAATAAATAAATTTTTAAAAAAAGATTCATATTGTGGCAGAAAGGACTGGGGGAATACCCATAGAGTTCATTCCCAAGCCCAAGGGCAGGAGCCACCCCTAACTCCCTCCTTCTAAGAGCACACATCCTAGGCTTCCCTTTTCTCTGCAGAGAAATTGCCTGGTTCCCTGGGACAAGGACACCCAGACAGAGCAGTAAGATTCAGAATAGAGGGTCGGTAATTCCTGGGGCTCACTGCTCTACCTTAACCCACCCCTAGCACATGAGGAACAAGGCTTCCAGGACAGGGCGCCCCTAGGAATCCTGCCACCTTTCCTTCCTGCCTGCGGCAGACCCTGACTGGGGATGGGAAAGCAAGTGTGATATCCAGTACAGGCTTCTCTGCCCATGGGCTGCTGCTCCTGGCCCATGCTTGCTCCTGGCCCCCCTGAAATGTATGAGGCCGCAGGTCTAGGAGGCCGGGCAGTACTTCTGCCGAGAAGACCACATGCGGCTCTGATGTGAGACCTGTCTAGGAAGCCACCCTGGATCCCATGCCCCCAACACACTACAACTAACTCTTTACACAAAACGTTTATTGAGTGCTTTCCATGGGCCAGGTGCCAAAATCAGGTAGCTGATAACACAAAACTCCAAAGGCTTTCCTGCCCTCAAGGAGCTTCCAATCTAGTGGGGAAACAGATCATACCACAGGTCAGCGAGCCTAGAGGGATCTGTGTGGCGGCTGGGGTTAGGAGAGGAGAGGGGACATTCACAGCCCCTTGGAGAAAACAAAATCCAAGTGGAAAAGTGGCCAGCTATCAAAGTGAGTAGCGGGAAGGGTACCAGTGCGGCAAGAGAGCCATGGTCTCTGCAGACAGGGGGCTGAGGCCCAGAGTACAAGTCAAGTGATGAGGCCAGTAGGGACCAGGACACCAGGAGCCTCACACACCATGCTAAGGAGTCTGGACTTTATCCTGAGGGCAGTGGAGAGTTGGGGAAAAGCCTTGAGGCCAGGAAAGACTGGGCAGCTGTGCATTTCAGAAAAACTACTCCAGCTGGCCACAGGCTAGAGAAACACAGGAGGCTGTCCACACAAACTAGGTGAAAGACGACAGAAGGAGCGGCTCGAAGTCAGAGACGCTAAGAATAGACTGGATGTAGGGCAGAAAGAGAAAGCAAGATCCTGCCTGGCTCCTGAGCCATCCTGGGACCAGGGCAGGTACTAGAAAAGCAGGTGAACAGAGGAGATTTTGAGGTCAAATTGTTTCTGTGCCCAGAAGGCAGCAGAACTGTGGCTGAGAAGTTATAGAGGAATTAGGGCTGAAGGTGTCCCTAAAGGCACCAGCATGGCTGGGCTTCCTCGGGCAATTCATAATACAGCCAAAAAGCAACACTGTGCACACAGCAATGAGAAGCCTACACAGAGACAGAAAGGACAGAGAGGTAAAAGGACAGCCACAGAAGTGCCAGGGAAGTGTGAGTCAAGAGGTAGACCATCAGCTGTGGCAGCTACCCCAAGATCCAGTAGGTGACATGTGATGGCTTCACCAGGGTTAGCCTGGGAAAGCCCTATCCAACAGGTAAGATGAACAAAGACAAAGTGGATGGCAAGGCCAAATGCGGCCAGTCTCAGGCCGCTGAGGAGCAGCAGCCTCAGGTCCTGTACCTTCACCCACTTGAGTGGCAGAAATAGGTCTGGAGATCTCACCAGTGGCTGCAGCACAAAATTCAGGGTGAGACTCAACAGAAATGCAGAACCAAGGAGATGAAGGATGCATGCATGAGGCAGATGTTCACGAACCTGTCCATCTGGGCACCTGCCAGACTCGCTGTGAGGTATGGGATTCGGCCAATGGCAGCTCTCGTGGGGCCTTCATTCCATGAAGCTGAGTCCTTGCAAGGCACTGTAGTTGGAGCGCAAGGTCAACAGATGCTGGTCTGTGCCCAGGATGGGGCCCACCTTCTTAGAAGGCATAGCCCACATCCCTCCAGAAGCCAGAAGCACAGGAGTGTGAGGCCGTGTGCTCTGAGCAGCAGCTTCTCCCAATCCCAGAAGCACAGGAGTGTGAGGCCCGTGTGCTCTGAGCAGCAGCCTCTCCCAATCCCATTTCTCAAGAAACAGGCCACAGCCTAGGCTGCCTTGAAGCCAATTTATTATTTTTTTTCTCATTGAGCCTGAGATAGAATTCACCAAGAAACCTCTCCTCTTTCTCAAAGGAAGACATAAATAGGATACTGTAGATGGTCTTCTGCATCTCTAACCTGTCACAAACCATTTCTGCTCCCTTCCATCTGGACTATCACAGTCTGGGGAAGGAAGCCATGGAAAGAGGAAGGAGTCTCAGAAAAATGGCCTCTATCCACTATTCATCCTCATCTCTATTCCCTTCCCACTTAGGGCCACAAGAATTTCTGCAGAAGGGCAAGAGGCAGAAGAGGAGTCCCTGGAGCAGAAGGCTAGCCCAATCTAGGCAGAAGGTTAGCGGGCAGAGAGGAAGATGAACTCCTGGGTGTTAAGGCAAAAAGTGCCATCTAGAATCTTTATTCAAAGGGGAATCAGCATTGGACAAGACCCACAATTCAGCAAAATGCACTTTTCCTGGAAGTGCCAACCCTCAGCTCTTCCCTATGGTCACCTGCCTGAGAACTTGCTGTCCGTTCCTCGCTCCATAGACCCTTCCCTGCCTGCCCCATCAGAGCCAGACCCGACTCTGGGAAGGGGAGGGCTGGGGACATAGCCTCCTGGCAAAGCAGGCTCTGCTACCCTCTCTGGTGCCCCTGGCAGCATTCAAGCCCCCTGAGGAGGGTTCCCTGGGGATAGGGCTTCTGAACAGAGGGGGAAGGAAACCTGGGCTGGCAGAAGACACCCTCCAGGCTCCCAGGCACTATCAGCCCAGAAGCCCAGAGACCTGGCTCTACTGGTCTTGCCCCCGACATGCCCTCCCCAGAGGGTCAGTATATCTTCTGCCGACTGGGTAGGATGGCCTCTTTGATGAAGGAGAAGACAACCAGGATGCCTAAGCGCTTGCCTCGCTTGCCTTTGGTGAAGTAATTGGAGACCACGTCATCTGTGGAAATACAAGGCAGGGAGATAGTGTGCATGCGCGCATGCATACATGAATGCAGCTCTCACCACCCAGAGCTGCAGGGTGCGCTCTCAGTGCTGGTGCCAGTCCCCCCAACATGACCTAACAAGCCTTTCCTCACCTCCTGGCTGCATGGTGGAGGGCAGGACATTGTCCCCAGCCGAAAGCGACACGAAGAAAGCAAACGGGATTATCCACAGGCAGAATGTGAAGTAGGCCAGGACCTGGGGACAGAGACACTGAGCTGGGAGAGCCCACCCCAACCCTTCAGGGACTAGCCCTCAGGGGACAGGACTCTGACACTGGGACTGTTGGGAGAGGGGAAGTCCAGCCGAGACTGAACACAGCCCCTCCCCAAAGTGACACTGTTCTTCTCTAAGGTTTCAAGGACTGAGTAGCAACCCCCTAGCCCCCAACTCCATCAATTCCTGCCTTGTGAGGTCTGAGTCTCACAGGCTGGTCTGTGCCCCTCTTGGACTTGAAGATGACCTTATTGGGCGGCAGGAGAGATGGGGAGCAGTGTTCTCCTACCTCAGCCAAAGGGATCCCTTCTATTTCTCTGACAACCCGCCTTCCAAAATCCTACGTCTTTTTGTTTGTAAGAAACATGGTTCCTGGATGGAGCCAGTTTTGGGTCACAGCAGCACTCACAAAGCAGATCATGGAAGTCCCTCCACTCCCCCATCTCTGCCACTATGCACAGATGTGCATCTTACCTCAGAGAAAGGATAATATTCTTCCGCAAAAAACTGAAATGCCAGGTAATGGTTCACCACCACTAGCCCTGTGGGGATGGAGAGTCTGATCACTGTGTGGTCACCAAATCCAGAAGGCCACCAAAACTGGAGCCCCAATTCTCAGTCTTGATTCTGCACCAACTCACAGCATGCTTCTGTCTAGAACTCAGTCCCCATCTGTTAAGAACAGGTGTTCAGTCCCAACTTTTTCACTGCAGAAGGCAGCAGGAATAGAACCAGAAGGTAGACTGGAACATTCTAGCATGTTGTAAAAATAAGCTTTTTGTGTTACATAATCCATGACCATGCTGTTGCTCTCCCAAGAGCGGCAGGTGAGGGGAGGGCATGGGTAGGCAGAGAGTACACCATGGCAGACTCCACTCCACACTGGACAGTCAGGGTTCCTTGGAAAGCTAGGCTGCGGAGAGGCACACCAGTCAATACTGGTGCGCTCTGGCCGCATACATTCTTCCCTCGTGTGTGCCAGCTCATGACAAAGAGCAAGCAAGGGGATAGCTACTGAGGGGCATGAAGGCTTGCTTTGTGGCGGGGGGGAGGGTAGACATCAGAAAGACCACATCCCCCATAACCACCTCACAACTTAATGCCTCTGTGTTCCCCTTTACCATGAAGACACCACTCTGCTATGTCATACACAAGGCATTGGGACGCCAGACAACAGTCTAGAGCCTCAAAAACCTCACTCGGGCATCCAAATGGCAGGCCGAGGGAGTGATGCCGGAAGCCAGAGGAGCCTTCTGGTGACCAGAGCTCCTCTGGCACACAAGGAACCTGGTACTAAATAAATTCTGAGGTAAAAACCACACCTGGCATTGAGAGATGCCCATCTCTAACAATCTGCCCTTCTGTGGATAACATTCAGTATTTCCCCCAGTGTGACCCAAAAATGTAACACTAAAGCAGGTCTCACACTACCTACCATCTTGACCAGGCTATGGTGAGAACCAGCAATGTCTGTAACCACTCTCTAAAACCTTTCTCATGAACATGAACCAACTAGGTCTACAAAATAGCTAAGGCCCAGGCATGAGACATGACTTTTCAGGGACAGGAAGTAGTACTGGAGGCAAGGCATGAAGGCAGGACCCCAGCCTGGGGCACTAGAAACTTCTGAGGATGTAGGAAAGGCAGCTAGCTAGCTCCAAGATGTCATCTCTGTGCCTTCAGGAGCTGTCTATCTGCCAAGCAGGCTCTATGTTTCTCAAAGGGACCAAAGAGTTTCTTAAAGGTGAGAATGTGCCCTCTCTAACGGCTTCCCAGGCCCTCATTCTAATTTGCCTTTTTGTCAAGGTCCTCCTGGCTGGAGCCCCTCCCCTGATAAGGGCTAGGCCCTGGGCAACAGGTTCTAGGGTCCTCAGTAATAAAAAGCCATTTTGCTCAGGCAGACTGGCCTCCTTGATGACCTCAGTGGCTCCTTAGCAGCTCCCCTCCTCAGGATCCCCTTCAGTGTCTGGGACGGAAGGCCCACATCCAATCACATCAAGTCCTCTCTGCTTGTCCCCTCTCACCGCATGACAGGATGAAGTTAGGTGATGTCAGCATGATGAAAGGGAAGGTCTGGAGGAGGCCAAAGTAGACGAGGTTGGTGAAAAGGCCCATGCCAATCATGCCGGCGGGGAAGTGCTCAAACACGTAGAGGCCGACCAGGACCGCTGTGGAGAACTGAAACAGGCAGAGGCGCTTGCTGTGGGGACCTTCAGGTCCCCTGCAGTCCCAGCCCCAGCCTGCTCTGGGAAGCACTACACACAGACTGGCTTTCTCAGTTCACAGTCACCTCCACAGCCACACTTAGCTGTCAAAAGGTGCCATCTTTGAAGGTCACTTCTAAGAGATGTTTGACAGTGATCCAAAGGCAGAAAAGCATCTTCCACAGCACTCCACCACACACCCATCCCTACTCATGACAGAGCTCACACTCGATCTGCTATCCTAGTCTTTACAGTTATGATATCATTGTTGGAGTTGGGGGCCCAAGCAAAGGCCACATGCGTGCCCACCACCCTCTACCCCCATTTCATAGTTCCTTGAATGCTGAGCACAAGCTACTGAATCAATTGCGTTAACTCAGTCATGAATCCAGCGGGTAGTCTGAGAAAGGCTTCAGTTGTCAGTGACGAAAGGTCTAATTGCTATACCAACCACACCCACAGCCTGAGCCAATGAACCGGCTGCCGCTCTGCCTGCACACAAACTCCAACCCCAGGCTATGTTCAGAAGGCAAGTAGCTGCAGACGGTAGGTGAGGGAAAGGTGAAGACCTTTTCTGTCCACACACCTTGCCACGGCAGCCTCGGCCTTCCTCACAGCTACTAGAGAAAAGTCTTCCTACAGCCTTGCTAGCAGGGGCAGGGACCAAGTCTTCAGGAAAAGAAGACTCCCATGAGGCAAGAGAAAGAGCCGGGCGTGCTCCCTTAGGACAAATCACTCTGATTAGAGGGCAATAAATAGGCATTACAAACTGTCCTTAAAGTCGCTGTTTAAGTTCTAGGCCTGACCTGGGGCTGAGAATCTGGGACTGAAGACAGTGAACACAGAGGGAGATAGCCACGTGCAGGCAAAGACACGAATACCTGTCATTGCAATAGCTCCACTGTACCTTAAAGAATGGCAGCGGGCTATGAAATATGCCACATGAGGATGGAGGGCAGGGGTGATCTGGACCCTGTAGTGCAGACTCAAGCGGTAGTGTGCAGGGGAAAGGAAGGTAAGAGGGACACCCTCAGAGTTTGGGTTCTCAGTACCACAATCGTTCCAAACCAAACAATCGCCACTTTCTGCTGATGAGGCAGGGCGAGCAAGCCCTGGGTGACTCCGGGAAAAGCTGCCACTTACCCAGATCATATATTTGATGATTCTGCTGGTGGCCACTGTATATTCTTCTATCAGCTCCGCCAGGTAGTAGAGTCCGGCCGCTGGATTGGCAGGGGAGGGGTGGGGTGGAGTGGGGGTGAGGGTCACAGGAGGGGACAAACAGGAAGAGTTCAGCGAGGGCCGCTCCTACCAGCCGGCTCATCCCGTAGTCCTCACCAACCCTCCCCAGACTTCAGGAAGTCAGGAAGAAGCCAAAGCACCCGTGATCCCCTTCTCGTCTGCACTATTAGAACTTTGGCAGGACAGCTGCAGAGAAACTGGATTTGACTGCACAACATAAGGTTAACCTCTGCCCCAGGAACCTTTAACTTCAGTCTCTCAATCAATACCTGCAGAACACTTAGCTTACAGGCCGGGCGCTGTACGCTAGCACACAGCAGCCGGGTGAGACAGACAGGGGCC